CTATCAAAACGCCTGCCGTTTGAAATAAATAAATAAATATTCGATCGAAATTGATATCTTTCATATTGGAGGGTGCCTGGAGTTTGACATCCTATTTGTGCACCTATTTAAGAAGAAATCATTATGTGTGAATTGAGCTGACTTGAATTCTCTTATAACTTCGTGAGCTTTAAACCAGTTAATGTCAGAAGAAAATAATTATCCAAATTACCTATCACCGCCTTAAGCAAGTCACATTTTTTGCACATCGATTGTGCGATAGACTTACCACCACGTGGTGCACTCCAATTAATGTTTACTCATATGGGAAAAAAAGGTTTATAACTCGGCAGTTGATTTCAAACTATTATTTGAAATAAATATACTTCTAAAAATTTAAAAATCTATCAACGAAGACCCGAAATGAGTAGATAAACAGGCGGAATCAGTCATAGTCATCTCACTCTGGTGGTCAAATTTTGACTAGACACACGGGGTTGGGTTACCTACCACAGCGCGTCTCCCTAAAAGTTTTTCTTAATACTTTTCAATTAAATCGCCTTGTAAGCTTGTTCTTTATACCAACTGCATACATTTCACCAAAAGAGTTACAAATATTTTTTATCCTCTTCATAGACTTGATTTTCCCTATGTACTTAAGACTATAATAGTGTGATCAACATTTGATATATATGAATATATGTATGTATGCATGTATGATTTCAATTCTCACTTACAAAAAGGAGGGATAGATTTACCTCCACGTGGTGCACTCTGGACAACTTTTACTCATGTGGCAAAAAAGTCTATTAACCGACAGTTGACTTCTCACTTCAAACTACCATGACCCCACTGTATGTCATATTTATCTACTTCCACACTACTCACCTCAACTTTTTTCTACCTTTGTGTCTGTCTGTCTCTTTTACGTCTGTGAATCATTATTCTGTCCCCCTCTCGACGTTTTACCACTTTGATGTTTATCTTCCTCTCTGTGAAGCCCGAAGTCAACTAAAGGGCTAATGATAACTATCAAAATGCCTACCATTTGAAATGTATAAAATGTTTTACTTTTTATAGTTTCAAATATATGGTCTTTTGTGTTACTAACGTATAATAACTGCATATCGACACTTTAAGTTAAGGCAACTGTAGAAATATGCATCAATTAGCAATTCCAGCTTTAAAAAGTTTGTATTTCTGGTAAAAACATAATGACCTTAAATAATTGCAATTTGGCTATTAATAACTGAAAAAAACTATTAGTATATTTGATACATCAATACTTACAACATTCAGTAGTGAGCAAGACGGATTTTGCCCAATTAGGCTTCGCCATCTGTTAAATCGTGTACTTGCTTTTTTTACAATTGAAAATCGTCATGATTCCATCAAAATGTATAGTCGCTTGAACGATCAAGATGTGCTCACGATTCATAGGAAACATCGAAAATTCGCTCATTTTAGAGATATCTACCGAAATATGTACCTATCTTGTGATTCCAGTTTGATCTCCTCCATTTGTCCTTGAACTATCTTCTTCCTCAAAGCATAAGCTAATGAAACCTTTTTTTCAAATTGAAATAACCTTGAAAATTGATATTAAATTTTTAAAGTTTTATTAGAGAAAGATTAAACGCTTTCATATTTTTTTGGGTTGAATATCTACCAGAATTTAATTCTTCAATCTAGCACCTGATATCATTCACCCGAATAGTTGTTGAGAACGCACTAAAAGGTCATAATAGTTATACCATCCGATCATCTATTTTTCGGAGAAGGGTAATGTGCTCATGCACTATTAGCATGAGTGTCACCTTGCGGGGTCAGTACTAAATTTTTGGTCAGAAAGTCTTCAATTCGTGTGACTACACGTGAGTACTTCAAAACGCTCTGATATGAAGTCAATTAAATGACTTGGTGCAGAGGACAGACATCTGGTCTCATTCCTGCGAACTTCTAGACAGGATCACGTGAACACGTTGGATATTTTCCTGGAGAGGAGGGGGTGTGAGCAAATCGATTAGCATCTTAAATCTACCATAGCAATTTGCGATTGAAAACCCAATTCTATTGATAAAAGCGGCAAAGCAGCACAAAATAATAAAAAATTTAACACAAATTGGCTTTGGTTTACACCTGTGAACCACTCTTCTGTTTCCCTCCCCCTCTCGACTTTTTTGTCACTTTGATGTTCCTCCTGAAGCCTGAAGTCAACTAAGGGGCTAATGATAACTATCAAAACGCCTGCCATTTGGTATAAATAAATAAACCTACAAAAATGGATGTGGAGATTTGAATAGATTGAGCTTAGATGTGCTTCACTCAAGTTGATCTGATTGAAGGCTTTTTTGTGTAGCCAGAAGTGGTCTCTAATTAGATATGTGAGAACGTTTCAGACTAGCCTTTAATTAAAAGTCTCTTTGAGCCCTGAAGACACATAAAATAATAATCATTAACACTCCTAAGAAAACAATGCTCTCAAACTCCAACTGGGATAGTGGGAGTTCCTGCCTTATCATAAGTTGAAAATTTAATTAAGTTAAGACAGACAATGTCACTCCTTACCCAGAGTTGTCCAGAAAGGAGATGCAATAAGTCTGTGGTTGTCGGATAGAGGAATTCAATATCCAGGCAAGAAGTCTAACAGAATCGTTTGAGAGAGTGCAGAAGCTACTTAACAATGCTTCCTTAAAAATGCGAATGTCATTGCTGTCAAAGAAAGTAACCCCACCCCATTATAGATTTTAGAAATGTTACGTTCTTCCAGACCAACCTCTGTTGATTAACAGACCTTACAAAAGATACTCTTCAAAGTCCTAAGAAGAAACGGTGGACAGTGGCACTCTCCGACATAGCCGACTGGCCAAGAATCGAAGTCGTTGCTGAGTTTAGACTACGCACCGGACACGATTGCCTGGCAAAGCATCTTCACAGATTGGGAGTATACACTCAACCCACATGCCCCCTATGTAACCATCAGGAGGAAATGGAGAAGACCCACCTGATTCGGTGTCCAGCCCTAAAGACAACGACGGAAACCCAGAGATACTGGGAAGCAAGAAGACAGATAATGAACTGCTATTAATTAACTGCTATATATATACCCCCCCCCCAGCCATGGGGAAAGCTGAAATCAACTAAGGAGCTATTGATAAATATCACAAAGCCTGTCATTTGAAATGGTAACCTTACAAAAGTCCTAAGGAATTAAGGTTCAATGAAAGAGCGACAAAAAGTGCGGATAAAGCAAGATGGATCCCAAGAATTTAAAAGCCGCTGTCCACCCAAATTAGAGGAAGCAAGTTCCTTTCCGGAATGAGGTGACCAAGAATGAGAAGAAGGTTGAAAGGGCGGAAAGAAGAGGAAGGCAGAGGAGACGCAACATGCCCCCTCCCCCAAACTGGAAAGGCTTAGAAGTCTCCATTCCACCACTGAAATTCTCAAAGTTCGGTTTTTCCTTGCTTTCCCTGTGCGCTATTTCAGCAAAAAAATTAAATTAAATTAAATTAAATTAATCAAAACCCGCTTTACGGCATGCCGTTCACATAGTCTTTATTCAGTGGGAAAATTATTTTTCCGTTCTCATCATTTTTTTTTGTTTAATTGAAATTCGAGTGTAGCAACCACTACTGGGTCGGAATTTTATTAAGTAATTCCCAAAAGTAGGCTGTGGGAACTCTCTCGAATTCTAAGACCTAATTTGAATGCAACTTGAATTCGCGCGTAATTTAATTCCTTTTCCACCATCTTCAAAATAGCAATTGTTCTTGCATTTTCCACGAAAATGCCACACAAAAGTGAATTGCCAAGTGCTCTCTCACTGGGTGTAATTTGGGACTTAATTTAATTTGTATTTAGAAGGTGGGGTGTGTGTGTGGGGGGTATTCAAACTGAGGAATTAGTAATTACTGGTGACGCTGTTTTTCTCTTACTTACACACCTTGGTGTTAGCTTTTGGGTTGAATTATTAAATTAATATCGATGGATGACTCCCCTTGCGTCTTCAAGATTGTTCTCTAGCTCGACGCTAATTTCTGCGACCAAATTATCCCGACCTCACAGTGAGGTCTGAAGTGCTTGACCACCTGCGACCTCAAGACTGACGTCAAGGTCTTCACGGTATTTCAGGGTCTAAATCCTATGCTAGTCTCAAGTTTCGCGTGGAGAACCATCGTGTGTCCTCGACTGGTATATTTTAATCCACGTGACAAGCCGCTTAATGATCCTTGAACAAGTGTGTTGCCAAGGCTTAGTATCGCCCATTAACGATGGCCAGAACAACTGTATTACTTCTCCAGGAAACTGCATGAAACCCACTCTCTCTCTCTCTCGATCTTTCTCCATGTTGCTATATCTCCCAGATCCTCCCCCTCAGCTCTCTCATTCCTTAGCAAATGTTATTCCCACGAATTTGATCAAATAAATTTTCATCAAAGGAAATATTTATAAAAGTTAAAGAAGCTGTTCTGATCGCTAAAGTAGGTTTAATTTGTGATGTGTGATCGAGGTAGTTGCAAGTATCACTTACTTTGGTGGACAATTGATTTTTAGCGTGGTTGGAGTGTTGCGAAGATGATAGATCACTACAGAAATGTACACATGGATTGGCAATACCGGAGTGTGTGAGACTTACCTCCACGTTTTGCACCCTGGGCAACATATACTCATACGCAGAAAGGGTCTATTAACCTGCAGTTGACCTCTGACTTCAAATTACCCTGACCCTACTGTATGTTATATTCGTCCCCTTACTCAGCACTCATCTTACCTTTTCTCTGCCTCTGTGTCTGTCTGCCTGACTCTTTTGCATCTGTGAAGCCCGAGGTCAACTAAAGGGTTAATGATAGTAATCCAAACGCCTGTCATCCGAAATAAAAAATTTGGCAAAACTACTTCACTAAACCCAGTAGTGTCTTAGCTGCTGATCATGTTCGAAATAAAACTTCACCTCATTTCTACGTATTATACAGTCCTAATTTTTTACTTTGTAAATAAAAGCAGTTTGTATCATCTTTTAAGTATCTGGTGCTCACGAATTACAAATGAGTGAAGCATTATTAATGATTTCGAGGTAATTGACGGGACTTGAAAATTAGCCCCCCCCCCTCCCCGCCAAGGTTTTATTCCATTTAAATTCTGCAACTCTAGGAAATAGAAATCATGTTAAAAATAACATAGGATTCGAAATATTTTAGGATAAAACTGTTTTTTAACCAGTAGTGTCCGGCAACGCCGGTCATTAGAATGAAGAAGATTAAAGACAAGACCATCTATTCTATGAAATCAGAAAATTGCTAAATACTATATACAAATATATGCACAAGGAAGAGGGTAAAATTAGTACAAAGGGACACTTGATCTCTCATCGAGATCACCGATTTCTCCAAACAATTTTTTCTCGTTTGCTGTGTGAAGAAGATCGATCTCTCCATGCTCCTTTGTTAATTACTTTCAAGTAAGGGGAATTAGAAATGTTGGGTAGACTTTTTCTAGCGGATTTCTTCCGATTGTCCGACTTTAAATTCTTATCACGATGCTCTCTGTAATGTCGAAATAGAAAAATTAGCAACGGTAAAATAGCATACTACTTAAATCTATTTCATTAAAAAGTTTATTTACAAAACTCTTTGAAGAGGAGAAATATGAGATCGATCCCTTAAATTTGGCGACCTGAAAATTGTAAAACAGGACCCAGTTAAGCATACTTAATTACTCCATTTAAAAATATTATAAAACACTTCTTACTTAGAAGCTTTCCTACGATCTTGTTGATACCCGCGTCGAGGAGGGCGATGAAAACGAGAAGATTGTGACCTGAATAGGAAGATTTGTATCTTGGGTGCTTTTTAATTGCGTTTTCAATTAAACAAAAATGAGTACTCACCAAGAATTTCTAGGAGATTTTCCTCGATTTCTTTTATGGTTCCGAGTATCGTAAGAACGTTCTCTATATACAAGGAAAGAAGGTTAGCCATGGCACACTGAGGTAAAGTAGTAAATTTGACATCCAAATCTACTGAAAATTTCAAGGACAAATTAATCAGAGGTACGATATCAAGAAACCTAATGTCAACACATTCGCTTGACTGCATCAAGCAGTCATCAAAAATGGAGACCAAACAACGTGACAAGCAAGAATTCCTGCGGGAGCATCTAAACTCCAGTCCCAATAGATGTGTGCAATTAAGTGGAGCTTATATATAGAAACATTTAGTCTCTCTACACCACCCGAATTACCTCGTACTGGGAAATACGTGACTACTACTTTGCACAAAAAAATTCACCATTACCATAAGTCCTGATAACTTGAAATATTACTTACCCAGTAGATCTTTTCATTTGACGATTATGATTACCCCGAGATCCATTGAACGACGGATTCCTAGGAGATTTGCCTCGAAATCCCACATTATCAACCGCGTAGGCGTCATCACTAGGGAATAAAACGCACAGCATTAACCAAACCATCTCATAAGTATGACATAGCCGATCTCAAATCTTACCGCTTATTATTTTTCGGAGTAAAGCCGTTAGAAATGAAAAGATTGGATCGACCGTTTTGGTGGGGCTTATCATCAACACGCCACTTGCCCCTTCCCTTCTTCCAGCTAAAAATGTAAGCAAAAATCAATATCAAATTAACGCCAAATTGTATCGATCAGATCGTCTTAATCAACATGAACTAATTCTAGTAATTAGACAGCTTTCAAGATAGCACACTTCGCTCACTTGAAATATTTAAATCCATGTAGGTAGGGAATTTAATAAGAGATTGTGATAGTGACGTAGTTACTGCTTCATGTGCTCCCAAACAACCCCGATCATTCAGAAATACCTAATCTTCATTTGCAGTGCATTAAAACAATGGGTGTTCGGAAAGAAAAAGGACGAAAATGTTACACTTTATGGTCGATATCATTCAGCTCCACCTCCACTCTTACTTTAAACACAAGAAACAAATTGACGGATACCACTTTTAAGGGATCCCCCCCCCCAAACAAGCGAGAAATATCGAGAATAATCATTCGCCTTGAGTAAAAAAAACGAAAAGTTGGATAGGCAATTAGTGTTGAAAAGTGCTTACCCAGAATTTCTGAAATCGCGGCGAGAGAAAGAAGGAGGAGAGTGATCCCTCGAATCTCGTCTAAAGAAGGAATGGAATAGAGAAGTCAAGAATTGCAGGCAAGTGTATAGAATCTGCTAGCAACTGCCAAAATAATACTTACCGTCTATTTCGATTTGGAGTATAATTTGAGTTGTAGCGAGGATAACGTCGCCTAAATGTAAAAAAAAGGTGTGGTCATCATGATTGTGGCAAAATCTTAGATCTCCCCCTAATCTAACAAATTCATCGTCTAAGAGAAAATCGAAAATCAGCTACCCACAATGATTTCCGTCAAGTATTGTAAACAAAACAAAGACAAAAAAATGGAACTCGCCCATTGGCTGATCGTGTGTAAAAGAAGCAAACAAAAAAATCAATAGCGCTTAACTTAAAGGCCTTAAGTGCAAAAAAATTTAAAAAATCACTTGCACACGCACACACATACATACCTGTCATATTCATCAACATTACTTTGTTCCCTAAAATAAAAGAGGATTAAATAAACGTCCACAATTGTAATACAGATTAAATTTGTAAGGTAAATGAACATGCCTATTTTGAGAGTCGTCTTTTGAAGTATCTAGTAACAATTGGTCCCCTTTCGGAGGAGAATTCAATGGTCCAGAGGAGAAAGAAACATATAGGGGTTCATCAAAGGCCCTGTCCACTGAACTATCACTGGATGATTGTTTTTCCACAACTTCTACAAAAAAAAAAGAAATGAGGAAATGAAGAAGGATAATAAGTGGAATAACAGGTACCGTGACACCCCGTCAGTTATCATCTTATGTTTACTTTTTTCATCAATCTGACAGTAAATTCTCTTCCATTTACAAGTTAACTATTTGTTGTTCGTGCTCATCTGATACAACTACCTAAGCCGTAGATGTTACCCTCTTCCCAATTGATCGTTACGCCATAGCAACTTTAAAAGAAAACCTACCATATTTTAGTTCTTCTTTTTCCTCTTCTTCTTCGTCTTCTTCTTCGGATGATTCTTCTTCGGATGATTCTTCTTCGGATGATGCCTCAGCATAGACGTCCTCCTCATCGAATTGGGTGACACCTTGATTGAGGAGGAATTGGCCATAGACTGAGGGTCTGTCGCACTCCTACGTGGGATGAATGTGTTGAAGTTAAATCATACAGATTACTTGAAACAAGACAATGGAAAAAAGAAAAATACCAAAAAAAATAACCTACATGGCCGAGGTGACCAATTCTGCCGCAATTAAAGCAACTTATCACATGGGGTTCCGGTTGTTCGAACTTGACTGGAGGGCCGGGTTTAGTCTAGGACAATAGAACCAAGGTCAAATAAGAAATCTAGGAATGCGGAGATGGAAAAAAGAGCTACTCAAACCTCATTTGATTAATACCCAAGATAGGTACACGAAGACAACTAGAGTTGAGTGCAGCTTTGTATTACCTCTAATCAATAGATGTTTTGGCATACCTTTAATGTTTAATTGATCTAGCCTATGCATAGCTAATTAATGTATACTGTGTATAGACAAGGGAAATCTTTAAACAAGCAACCTAAGTACCTAAAGGGCAAAAATTTAAGAGAATGTGTTCAGTAGGATTAAATATCTTGTCTGTACTGTGGACAGAGATGCACAAGAGTAAATGGATTCAGATACTGGCGAGCACGAAAATGTAACCCAGTGCCATACCAGCCTTCTCTCCTCCTCCGACCCCCCACCCCCCATGGAGAATAAATTGTGAAGGATTATATTTCACAATCTAATTACACTAGACCATGTACTTAAAAAGCCTCAAAAATTCGATCATTTGTTGGAGCACACATAAGCAAAGATCATGGCCACGAAGCAATGACATGGAAGGATGACTCATGAAATAATACTACGATCAACTGCTTTACGCCTAATGACTCATCTCATCTATCTGAAATTACGACAACGGTTTACACAGGATATTCACACTACACTCTTGATATTCCGCAAATTAGAAAATTTGATTATGGATTACTAAAGGTACCGATCATCTATCCAAGTATCTATAGTTCCATGAACTTAGTTCTCCTATTTAGCATAAGCAAAGGAACTGAAAAAACGGCATAGACACAAGCAAATGACTTATCGTAAAAACTTTGGTAAACCCGATTAAATAGTAAATAAATACAAACACCTAAAAGCAGGTATGAAACGCTAAAAGTAGAGAAAGTAAATTAGTTTTCTGCTCTTCTATGATTTCGCTTGCTGCAACCAGCAAGCAGAACAATATATAAGTCGCACGAATTCAAAAACTGGGAACATTTGCTATCAATAATGATAAAAAGATTTTAAAACAAAGAAATTTCTCCTAAAAATAGTTAATAAAGCGGATCGTAGTGAATAACAAAAACGTAAAGCAGGGTAATGTAAGGAAATAAAACTTACTGTAAAGCGATATTGTCTCCAGATCTCTGGACACCGCTGAAATAAGGAGGAAACGATAAAATGATAGTAGAAGTAGATAATGAGCACATCCTACATGACACTTACATCTTCCACATGTCCCCTTTGCTTGCATCTGGAGCAGACGATACTATTGACCTTCTCTTTGTCGGGGCATTTATTATCATGCCCAGAGTTTAAGCAAACCGGACAAACCCTGTAGCTACATCTTGAACCGTGATGTCCCTGTCTCGTACAGATGATACAAAACGTACCTCTCTAAGTTAAGCGAAATTATTATTTATGAAAATTTTACTTACCCTTTTACAGTCCCAGCCACTATGACCTTTGAGGCCACATATACAACATTTACGATTAATAATACCGGTATATTCATCGGGTGGATAAATATCATCGTGTTCTATTGACCAAAATTTTGGATCTGAAGGGAGATTGTCAAGACGACTGGGCATAGCAACGCTCTGGCTGTTATTCTGGCTCAATGTATTTGAGATACCAAGAATCATATCAGTTTTAGCATTTTCGCCATATGTATCTTTATGAGAATCATCATCATCATCAGTTGCGGCGGAATAGTAACTGTTAGGACGAGATGAGGAACAATTGTTTTTGTACTCTTGCTCACGCTTTTCAGCCCTCTCTAACACGCAATGAGGATAGTTTCCGGTTATCAATAAGTAGAGAGCTTCCAAATCTGTCTGATAGCGGTCTTTGTCCTTCAAAATATCAGCAAGATAGGACAGACAACTTGACGTAGAAACAACCGACTGAGAGAGATTTGAGTCGCTTGAAGATTCGCTAGATCCTTCGATTTGCAAATTAGATAATAAATCCAATGCTTCTGATGGAGTAGGATCCCACTTATCATCCGCTTTTGCTGACGCGTTTATTCGTTGATGAGAACAATTGTCGACCTTTTCCATATCCACAGTTGAATTTCCAAGAGAACTAGTTCCGTAATATGACATTTCATAGAACCTGGCTTCTGTTTCCTCATCAATTTGATCACTATAGTAGTCTATTTCGTCGGCCATCTTACAGTAAACGCAGAGAGAGACCACACCCTCACGCAAGCGTGACCACAATATAGTACGAACAAGCCGCTTGACACAAACCATATCAAACAAAATTTTCCACACCCAAAAATATTAAAGAAAAGTTTAAAAGATTTAAAAGTCTGCCGAAATTATTATTAGTATTTTCTCATAAAAGGCTTGAGAAAACGAATTTAAAACTACTTGATTATGAAAACGAAGAAGAGTCGATTGATGAAGTAACAATTATGAAATGTCATAATTTTAAAAACAAGTGAAATAATAAATGCAAAGCGGTGAACCTGAGATGAGCACCAAATGTTCCCAAGGAATAATATTATATCGAACCTACGAAAGCGTTCTATTATTGAAAATCTCTTGATCTTAATTTTAAATTTTTAATCATCTGGAGCATGTTTTGCTTTCCTGCCAATATATGTAACGTTTACGAAGGTTCTTGTGACATTAATGGTCATAGCGGAAATTTTCTCGTATCCCTATGTATAATTTTTCTTATGTAATATAATATTTTGTGAAGAAGCAAAATCCCCAAATGTCAAATTTCGGAATGAAGTAACAGTTTTTGCGAAGAAATCCGCTACCCATTTATTGGAAATTATTATTTCCTGATTAATTTTTGAATGTACTTACTGAGGTTGCAAATTTGGATATGAATATCTTTTCCCAGACTAGAAATCAAATAAAAAATTTCAAAGTAGGCACTAATACTATGGAAGAATACACTAAGTCTTGGTCAAATTTAGTATATTAAATACATTATTTCTAAATTTCATTATTGGTACATTAGCAAAATGTCTTCTCACTAATGCCTTTATGTGAATGCTGCAAAGTTAACCCTATTTCGGAATGGAAATGATCAAGACTTTATTATGATGTAAATCCTGTAATTTGCATAGAAAGTGTTTATCTCCAATTTGATGCTTAAGCAATCATTATTGACTCTGATATAACAGACTTTCATATGAATGTTAATTCCTGATGGCGGTATTTAAATTTTGTTTGTTTATAAGAACGATTTCAGGGTTTCTTCACTCAATTAATTAAGTAAACTTAAATATTTGCTTTTCTATCATTTGGCTACACATTCGTGAGAATGCAAAAACATCATTAAAAACCACATCTGATAAGTTAACTAGTTAAAGTTGTGCTAATAGTCTCATCACACATCTCGAACACCATAGCATGCCTAATAAATGTTTGCGCTTAAAAATACTTCCTGCTAAAACATTAGAAGCTTGCTATGTAGTCACAATTTACAGAAGTGAATGGTATGCGCAGAAAAAACTATGTTCTGACTTTTTCTGTCGCAGGAGCCAAACAAATAGCCCGTTGTTTTCACGAGTCGACCTTCTCAAACAAAATACACTATTGTGAAATTACTCTCAAAGCCGTCAAAGCTATGTTAACTATATCGAAATACATGGAGTATGGGGTGGATAGCCTTTGTGTTACTATGGCTAACCGTTTCAAAGCTAAAATCTGGTCTATACTATGATGGAATGACTTTTGGATGCTGATTGGATGAAACTTCTCTACACGAAAGAACGCACTAACTCACTTCTACCAGTTACACATCAACACCTTCCAGTATGGTTTCCCTTACCCGTCTTGGCAGTGTTGTGTGCTCCACACATCTAAACCTGACAATAAACTATCACTCGGTTTAAGCATACTTCAGCTATTGCATAAAATTTGTGTGTAGCTATTAATGATGAGAATAATAATAATAATAATAATAAACACGTAAACTTTAATATTTGTACAGAAAAAAACTATTCCGATTTATTTAAAATTTAAATAATACTTTAGAACCCTTTTGTCGTGATATCCGCTTAATTTTTCCTACCATGAGTTACACATCATTGAAGCTTTTAGCAGCTCTTCTCGGAATCATTAAAGGCTTCATCGAAGCTCAAATAAAGTGCCAACACCTATAGACGGGAAAAGAAATAGAAGTTCTGGTTGGAAACTTAACAGATAATTGGTGTTAGTATACATTTATGTCAGCTGCCTTAGTATATGCTTACTAAAAATTTAATGATGATTAATCTAGACAGAGAGTAAAGTGTAGTTTCAATGCAGATGGCTTAAAAATTGAAATCAGAATGTTGAGAAAATAATTTATAATTCTTGGTAGATTGCTAAGTGTGGAGTTAGTTTCAGTTGGAATTAAGTTTTTGCAATAAAAAAATATTAGGACTGGGGTATTCTAGGAGTTAATAAATAAGTGAATTGAATTCTGATTTTACTAATCACTTGCCTTCTTTTATATCTCCATGGCTCATGGTTCAAAGACGCTTGAATGGCCTTTCAAATTCTCATTCTTCACTGTATAAACAGAAGGGGGAATAAAAAATTATTATATAAAAAATTTTACTATCATTTTGAGTTCACGTTAAATTTTTTCACATAATTCTTTAACTGTTGAGTTCATTAATTTGTTACTTAACTTGGTGATTTATAGATTAATTAATAGACATCTGCTAATACTATATATGAATTTAGACTCATTCAAAAGTACCAAACTCATAGCGAAATCCAGATATCACTTCAACCCAGGAAATCTATTTCAAAAATATTTAATGTTTTACTCTCTACTCTCATCAAGGTATATATATACTTACATATCAAAATTGTGGAAAAAGTTAAAGACAGCTTTGATGTTAATTAAAAATGCTTGTTTTTAAGAAAGCATTATATATGCGTGATAAAACTAGTAAAAGTTATTCCTAAAAGCGCTTATATCATGCTAAATGCAATTGTTAAGTGTCTTTTCCTTATCTTAGTTATACCCGCTGTTATTAAATGCACTTTCATCCGTCAGGACCGGCTATTTTTCCGAGGTTATGGTACGAATATTTGACTATTGCTATTTAATGTTAATAATGTCATATTTCGAATTATTTCACTATTATTATTGTTATTTTAATTATTTTAACTTGTTTTGAATAAATAGACGACAACGACAAACCCCGATCCACCTAATTATCAACCAACGCCAGTAGAAGATTATTCAACATGGGATATTGTAAAGGCCACACAATATGGCATTTTCTCTCGAGTCTTAGAGTTAGTTGAACCCCCATCGGATTCCCAACATCCCCCTTTTGATGTTAATCAATTAGATCATGAAGACGTCTCCCTCTTACATTGGGCCGCTATCAATAACAATTTTACGATCGTCAAGTATCTCATCTCTAAAGGTGCGATAATTGATCGAATTGGCGGAAATCAGCAGGCCACTGCTCTGCATTGGGCTATTAGGAAACATCTTTTGGAGATGGTTGGTCTTTTAATGCATTTCGGCGCAAATCCATTGGTTCAAGATATTCAGGGTATGACGTGTCTCCATGTTGCAGCTCAAGAAGGTGCAACTTCAATTGTCCTCTACCTCCTTGCAAAGGGCGTAGATGTTAATTGGTTTGTTATAGTAATTTTCTATTTAATTTAATACTCCATGCCATCTAATCAGTATTTTATCTATCGCGAAATATGTGTCCTGTTGGCTGCAATTAATTTTGCGTGAATTTATTAATAAAATTGTACTTATTTACTATTATATTTCGTTTTAATCGCCTTATATAAAATTGTGTTCAATCATAGTTGTGTATTTTATGGTGATGATCTTTCGACATATCTCTTAGTTTTAAATTTTGTTAAATTGGCCTATCATTTCTCATGCACTCTTAAGAATTTGAATTTATTTATCAAAAGTCATAATACTACTTTGATCGTAATTAGTCTGTGGCCTTAAATTGCTACACATTGAATTCCCTATTTATTTCTTCATAGTCGATTATTTATAGGTGGCCTTGTATGCCCCAAAGCATTTCTCTCTTACAGATTTGCGTATTTAATCTTTACTCTGTGGATTAATTATCCTCAGTATTTTAATAAATTGATTTTCGTCCACATCGGTTAAAGTTTTAGTGAATCAAGCGGGTTTTGACAGGATTTATATCCTATTTAACGCTCTGTTTCGCTGATAAATTGGACGTGCTTTTGCCTGAAATTCTTTTGAATTGGTATCTTGTATTAAAAATTTGGCTCCCTATTTTCGTTATTGATTAATCAATTCCTTCATAATTAGTTTTTGCATAAAGTAAATGCATGAGAGCATGTATTGGGTCGTTTTGCATGCAATTCGGGCATTCAGCCGCACTTTTTAAAGCCCTTTGAGATCCCATTATTGGACTTGCGATTTGCTTTTTTGGCATAAAACCTGTTGACGGTCTTTGGATCTTCCTGGTTACGTACTGCTCTAGTAATTCATTATCGTATCTTCATGCTAACAACCGCCTTCCAATGTTTAAGCAAAGTTCTTGAGCACTTAAAAATTTGGAGCTCCTTTTTGGCATTCACTTACTTTCTCCGCTTTCAGGTTACTTCACCCCTAGCACCTCTGTATTAGTCTCAGACAAGTCGGTGACCAGTTGAGTGACTACCTGGGTCTCAACTATTACTCTGTTTATACGTGATTGTGGGCCCTTTTGGAGCAAAGCCGACATATTTTACTACCTTAAATCGTTTTTCTCTAACTTTTGTTACTCCGTTTAACCGCTACGTCTACAATCAACCAAGGAACGGCTGTTTTAAATGTAGATATCCGATAACTAATTATGCCTCACTAAATGTAAATTCACAGACAAATAAGGGAAGGATGGAGTCAGTAATGAGACCACACTATAGGTAGATTTTGAAGAGAAAGTGGAAGTTGTAGATGGCGATGAACTTTAAGCAGGAGTAGGAGAGGGGGGAGGGAGGGAGGGCACAGAATTGTTGTGTTAGGAAACACGAAATGTCGATTAAGGACGTGAAAGTGGAAGGGATGCGCTTTTGGGCTGTCATTTGAGTCTCCACAGTGGTTTTGACGCGCAAATTGATGTGTAGGGATATTGCTCCAAAAATGTTAACTCAGACCCTGATGATCCATGAAAAATAGAGTGGAAAATAATTCAAAATATATCCCTTCCGCATGAATAAAACACTGAAAGCTTAGCACTCATTCTATCCATCCAATATTGTCGAATCTCGACGATTCTTTTCTGCATTTTGTGTGTTGATTTCTAATCGATATCTATATCTGTTGACTATATGTGTGGCGATGGTTTTTAATTTCACCTCCAACTATGACTCCAATAACTCTCCTATTCGAATCCTTAGGTTTTACAGTTTTATTTGAAATGTAGATTGTTGTCCATCGACGTTTTCCCTTCTTACCCTGTTTTTTTTTCTTGCCAAATAAGCGTTAAACTGTGCGAATTTTTCTCTATTTATCCAAGGGACTTAAAGCATACAACAAGGTGAAGAAGCGTTTCATGGTGACAGTGCTTTTAGCAAATGAGCTTTTGAGCATTCACTTTTTCCCTAGAGCTGACCGTTTCTTGGAATTAAGATGATTTCTTCCTTCCATTCCACCGGGGAATGGAAGGAAATGCGAGGCAGCCTTTGACACACATGATCTTAAGGATGGAGTTTGCATGCTCTCTCTCTCCCTCTCGATCTTTGTTCCCTGCTGTTAGACTCCGTCGTAGTTATCATCGAATTCGTTCTTTACTGTCTCATACAATCATTATCCTAAACTTTTGCTCAATCTACTACGCTAAACCTTTTCGGTCTCAAACCCACTTGCTAACCTTTTCTGGGGCAAGCACTTTTGTCATGGTTTTGTTTCATCGTTGCGCGTTGGGACTGATATAACAGTAAGTTGCCTCTTTTAAAACCTAGTCAGTCACAATTTTTCATACTCCCTAAAGGAAGAGGGGGTAATGAACCATTTATTTGAAAATACGTCTTTTTCCTAGAGATTTGAAGGGAGTTTGAAATAATTATCTGGCAAATAATCGTATTTTCATACAGGAGTGTGGAACTCCAACAATTGACCAACCAATTTATGAACTTCGTTCAGGTGCACAAAAATAATAAATGTAGCATTATTTATTTATTTATATCAAATGGCAGGCGTCTTGATGGTTAGCATTAGCCCTTCAGTTGACTTCAGGCTTCACGGAGAAGAAGGAACATCAAAGTGAAAAAAATCGAAAGGGAGGGGGGGGGAACAGAAGAGTGTTTCAATGGTGTAAAATGGACAGACACAAAGGTAGAGAAAAGGTCAGGTGGAGTGAGTACTGTGGAAGTAGTCGAATATAACATACAGTGGGGTGGTGGTAGTTTGAAGTGAGAAGTCAACTGCCGGTTAATTGACTTGCTTGCCGTATGCGTATGAGAACCTCTTCCAGAAAAATGACGAAAAAATCTTCCACCTCATTTGAACTCGCAAGCACTCTCCAACCTAAATTTCCTATGACTTCAAGTAGAATGGAGAGATGTATGCCTGAATGAGGAAAGAGCACTAAATTAGATAATTCCAAATGAGACCGGTCTGCCTTCTGTAATTCCATTGTTCTGTTTAAATGCGCGCATATTACGTACTGTGAAGGAAATATGTGTATTAGAATATTAACTTCGTCTTGGAAAAAAAAACTATATATTCATTTACCTTGAAAAGGCGGCCATGTCAATTTCTAAAGCATTGAGGGTTGCTGGTTCCCCCCCCCCTCCCCCTCCCTATTAAGAGAGCATTTAAATATATATTCACTACCTCAACTTTTGCTCCTCAATGCTCAGAGACTGTGTTGACCAGGTGATTTGCTGAAATGGTGGATCCAACTGCCTTGTTGCAAACAAGTGCTGGTGGGTGGATCTATTATGGCTTTATTAAACATGACAGGGCGCATTAAATTTTACTCGCTTCGCGTTTCCAGCAATCAATCCGAGTACAATTTGCCTTTAAATGACAGTTTATCTTAATTATTTTTTTAAAAATTTATTTTGTACTATCCTAAACTGGGTTGACTTTACTGTGTTCTTTGTTGTTTACTGAATACTTTTCTGTTTCTGGAAAGTTAGAACTCATGGGACTTCAATGCTCACTCGGTGGGTTCATTTGTTAATTGCACTGATTCAATCAAACCAATGGAAAGGTGCGTGGCGAATTCGACTTTCTCAACGGAGAGAGGCTTCGTGCTGCTCTCCTTTTGTCCAAAATAAATGAGCTAATAAACCATTCAGGTGTCAAGTTAGGGCTAACACCGTTAAGTTATATAGATGAATGACTCATGCGATTGTCTACTACTCTATTCCCTACCTCTGAACGCGCCGTATTTTATTGATTGACGAGGAAGCACAGACAGTCTGGTGGTCGATTGATTTAGGTTGATGTTTCAGTTGAGAGTACAAAAAATCTTAAACTGTTCTTCTCCTTTATACCAGCCGAAGCAGCAAGGGCCTCACGCCATTGATGACCTGTTGCCTTTTTGGTCGATCGCCGGAGCCCCTGCGAGTCCTCCTGGCTTGGGGTGCCGACACCCGGATTGAGGACGACGTGCAGGGTAACACAGCAGCCCACCTGGCGGTTCGAAGTAATAACCTCCTTGCAATTCTACAGCTCGATGAAGTGGGGGTGGACTGGAGAATGCAGAATAAACTCGGTCTCTATCCCTATCAGGTGAGTGGCCTTCCTTCCTTCCTTCCTGCCTGCCTTGCAAGGTGCTTTTACGCTTCCATGCTCCTTCCTTTTGTTTCTCCAAAGGTTCTCTCCACCTTTTTGGTGTTTTTTTCTCGGGGAGATTTCCCTTCCAGAATGATTACTTTATTTCATCCTCATGCACTGCATTACCATGTCGGAAAGTAACTAATTCTATGCGACATTTTCATCCACTTTCCCTTGGGGGGGGGGGGGGGGGGGGGGGGGGTAGGGAGGGAATCGCATTGAGTTCGTGTATATGGGGTCTTGAGCAGGCTTGGCAATGGTGTTTTGTTGTGTTACTCCTTCCCAAGTGAAATGAAATTAATTTTTGTATTCGGTTATTGGAAATGTCCCTCTCTCTCTCCTCGAAGGTGTGTCGAAACTAATATGCCTTTCTGTGCATTGCGCGTTGGGGAAAAACAAGCAAGCAAACGAATAAAAGTGGTATGCTTCTAATCTTTTTTTTGATAAAAGAAATGCCTTTTTGAAATTTTCTGTAGGACATTTGACCTCATATTCACTGAATGGAAAATATTCACCCGAATCAGCTGATTAAAGCAAGAGTAATGGAGGTCATTGTTTGCTATCTGATGTCGCAATTATATATGAGTTTGTTGTTGGGGTAACAAGATCCGAGGGCGTTAACAGCAAACGACAGTTCTATCAAGTAGGGCACGAGGAGTTGCATAGGTCAAAGTGCATTAAATAAATAACAATGAGGTGTGTCTCTAGAGAGTGGGCATGAGACACGTAGCATTGGGAATAAATGAATAAGTACCACAAGAGTGTCTGAGTGTAAAATAGAATGAATAGTTCTTTGGAGAGTATATATAGACAGTCATTCTTCTGTATTTTCGTTTGTTTCAATCGCGCAATCTAAAACTGGACCTCTCCTTACTAGCAGCAGCGATCGGTCTTTTTTT